AGAGTCTTAGGGAAGGAAGAGGTTCGTGGGAAGAGACCGTCCAGGATAAGAGGAATATTTATATACAGGAAAAATTTCATGGGGAGATATTAAAAAGAGGGAGATATTCATGGGGGAGGGATATTCCCAAGGGAGTGTGATATTAAGGGGGGGAGGGAATTCAGAGGAGGAAGATGAAGTGCTGGGCAGGACTTATTCATGGAGGGGGCAGGTACCTATGAAGGCAAGGTACCCAAAGAGGGAGGTGTCCATGGGGTGAAGGGAGAAATGCCCATGGGGGGAGGTGTCCAAGGGGGGAGGTAGTCCTAGGAGGGGGATGTCCATAGGAGGAATATTCGTCAAATGGGCTCACATCGCTGGGTACAACTATGCCATTGGGGTCCTTCACGAGGAAAATGTGTTTGCTGACCGGAAGCCGCACCATCCAATCTACTTTCCGCCCCAAGGGGTTATAAATGGTCACCTGGAACTGAGGTGGGAGAGTCAGAGTGGGTATAGGTCACAGCAGGCCTCTCCAAACCCAACCCCATGCACAGCAAGCCCCTGGATGATCCAAGCCCCCATGTGGTGTGCAGGTCTTGGTCCAGCCCCGCCTTTACTGGGCCCCAAGTGATCTGGCCCAGAGGAACCCTCCGAAACAATTTGGCTACCGGCCCGGCCCCATGGTTTTGCGGGCTCTGGGGCTCTTGTCCCAGCCGCAGAACCTGCCTCCGGGCCCCGCCCCCGACCAGTCCCCACAGGCCCGGGGCGCGTCTCACGATCTCCGCGGTCTGGCTGAGCGGACAGACGCTGATGTTGAGGCAGCGGCAGAACACAAACTCCTCCTTGGAGCCGCTGAGCCGCGCCAGCGCGTTGCTCAGGAGAACCTGGGGAGGAGCGTAATCGCACAGGTCCGCTCCGGGCGCCCACCCTTAGTCTCCTCGCCCCACCTCAGGCCCCGCCCCACGAGCCCTTCTAGACTCCACCCTACCGCCTTCGACCACGCCCCTTCCCATCTCCGCCCTTCTGCTCCAGGCGGGTCCCCTCGCACCTCACAGGGTCCCCAGCCTGCGGCTAGCTGGCGAGCATAGTCGTCTGCCACGTGCTGCCGGGAGGTACCACTGACTGCATCGTGGTGCTGGAGCACAGCCATCGCCTCATCTGCAGGCAGAGAGTGGTGAGCCGGGTGGGGTTTCTGTAGGACTCTGGTCCCCAACCCCAAGGAGATATGAAGGTCACATGAGGGGGCGGGCAGGGCTTTTAGGGGCTTTCAGAAGGTACTCAAGGAGGTGGCTGTGGTCTGGTGTCCAGAATGAGCCCCGCCCCATCCCCTCACCAACCGGACACCTACTGAGGGGTGCGCTGTCTCCAGAGCCATAAGGTCCTACGTTGGCCGCTGGACCCGCCAGCGCCTCCAGTTGGTTGCACACCTGGTGATCGGGGGCGGGGAGTTGATTGAGGCACCCGGCCTGTCGGGAATCCCGGGCCGCCTGCTTAAGCCCAGCGCCTGCACCCACCTGCAGGAAGTTATAGCTGAGACGCTCGTAGCGTTTGAGGGCTGGCCGGCTGGAAAAGAAGCCTGTCCAGAACTGGTGGGGGCCATCAGCGTAGGGGAAGAAGTCATCCTGTTTCGCCGACCTGCAGTGGCAGAGTCACTGAGGGCAGGGGCATGACCCACAGGGCATACCAATCCCCCAAGTTTCCCAGGCCCCCCAAATACCAGGTGAGGTTGGCCTTGTTCAGCTCCCAGAGGTAACAGGCCGGAGTGGAGTAGAGAACATTGACGTGGCTCCCATTGGCCTGCTGCTGGGGGAAGGTGTGTGTGTGTGAGCCCTCGGGAGTCTGTACCTTCCCAGGGGGCCCACAGGTGTGCAACACATACTCACACGCATACGCACATTCATTCATCTGATGGGTTCAGATTCTCTTAATACACATTTTGAGTGCAAACTAAAAACCAAGTGTGAAAATGTATTTGGCCGAAGTTAATATTACCAGTCTGGAAAGAATTTCGGGGATACAAGAATAAATCAGAAATTTTACTAAACTTTTTAAATAATTTCAATTTTATTATTAAAATCTTTCATGGAAAAACTAATGAATTCCCAACTGATAAGGCTGTTGATGGGAGTGTGTTGATAAGAGCATCATTCCTGCCCTATGGGTAGGACATATAGGGCAAGAATAATCATATCAGCACTGTCAGGTTATTGTCAAGTGACATGATTGTTATAATGAATGGAGGCTCACTTTCAACTGAGGGAGGTGGAGGGATAAGAAAGTGACCTCTTCCATAAGGAAAAGGTTATTTGTCCTGCTCATGTTGTGTCCCCAGCACCGGGTATACAGTAGGTGCTCATTAAACACTTTAGTGAATGTAGGGAAGACCGTGGGATGACATGCCTTTTATGTGCGTACACACGTCTACACACACAGTCATATACAGTTACGTACACAGACCCACACACACAGTGTATTCACTTAGCAGCCATTTGATTCTACAATATGCTCAAGATCAAAGACACAATCTAGAACTAGAGGCCAGCCTGCTCTCATGGAATTTCACAGCCAAGTATGGGACAGAGATTGAACAGATAAGTCAGTTGATTATAGTCAGCCTGGATGTGGCATGACAGGTATTTGTGAAGACTGGTTTGAGCACAGAGGAAAGAGCAAGAGCTCCTCCTGGGGTTTGGCAAAGCCTTCCTGAAGGAGGACACCCTGAAGCTGGTGTCTTAAAGGAGAAGCAGAACATTTTCAGCCCCAAATAAAAATAATAAACAACAACCATAATACTTATTATTTACCTGGCACTGTTCTAACTGATCTGTGTAAATGAATTCATTAAACCCTCATCAACAGCCCTATCCGCTGGGCCCCATCATGCCCACTTTCTGGATAAGAAAACTGAGGCACTGAATGCTTAATATTCCTCAAGGTCACAGAGCCACTAAGTGGCAGAGCCAGGATTTGAACTGAGAGACTCCCATTTATTTCCAGTCGAATGGAATGGGCAAAGGAGCCACCAGTGGAGGAGAAACACCAAGAGTGTGACATCCTGGCAGCCCAGGAACATGATATTTGCAGGAGGAAGTGATCAAGGTGTTCGAGGCTCCTCAGAGCCATGGGGAGGACTGAGAAATGTCTCCCTGGTGATTTTCTGAGAGCTGTTTTGATGAAACAGCAGTGCAGGGAGCAAATGGAAGGTGAGGACATAGAGACTGTGCTGGTAGACAATTCTGAGGACAGAAGTGATGAGAAAGGATGTCTTAGATGGGAGAGGGGAGACAAGGTTCTGTGCTGACGGGAGAGTGACTGCCTGCCCACACAGCCACAGGCCACACCAACACATCTGTGGCGGGCAGAATAATGGCCACCCAAAAATGTCCATGTCCTAATACCCAGAGCCTGTGACATGGCAAACAGGAATTAAAGTTGCAGATGGATTTAAAGTAGCTAGTCAGATGACCTTAAAATAAGACATTATTCTGGATTACCTGGATGAGTTCAATGTAATCACAAGGGTCTTTAAAAGTAGAAGAGGGATGTGGAAGAAGTGAAAGGAAGAGATGCGATGAAAACAGGGTCAGGCTTTGAGGATGAAGGAAGAGGCCATGAGCCGAGGAATGTGGCAGCCTCTAGAAGATGGACAAGGCAAGTAAACTTTCTCTTAGAGCTCCCAGAAGGAACGTAGCCCTGCCAACATCTTGATTTTAACCCAGTAAGACCCATGTTAGACTTCTGACCTATGGAACTATAATATAATCTATTTCTGTTGTTTTGAGCCGCTAAGTTTGTGGCAAGAGAATACTAAGATAGCACACATAGCTACTCATCTGACCCAAGGCCCGGAGACAGAAGCACGCACGTACACATGGGGTAGGCACACTCACCTGGGCATTGACCAGATGGATGAGCTTATCAAGGTTCTTGAACCACATGTTGGCATTCTCATACTGGAAGTCTGAGCCCATGGTCATTATGGTGTGGTTGGTGCGGTAGTACCCACTCTGCAGGCAGAATGGGGTATCCTCAGGCCATGGTGTCCTGGCTACCCCTGTGTACAGCTGTGTCTTGGTTATATGTGGTCAAGAGTGGGTACACAGTGGTGTGGGGGAGGGGTGTGGATGGGAGTATGTCCCTATGACATACTGAGAACATAGGGACAAGAATAAAAATAGCCAACCCCCCCCAAAAAAACAATAATTTTTAATTAAAAATAAATAGCAATAGCCACAAGTTATTGAGTAATTCTCTTGGGCCCGCCACACAGATGAGGGTACGAAGGCACTGTGCCATACTGTTTCATGATCGTGGTGGGCATGTGCAGTGGCAAAGGGGTCCACCTGCTTCCAATCAGCAATGCGCAAATCCTGGGGAGAGTGAAATATTACCTTCCTCTGAAGGTGTGAGGAGGTGTTAGGGAATGCCTGGGGTGTGGGAAGGGCCCTGTGCATTATGTACAGCAGTCTCCCAGGTTCTAGACGCTGGGGTTACCTGGACTGTGGCTAACTTCAGGAAGTAATCAACCAGTTCCTTGGCATTGTACTCGGGGCTCCGGGGGTCTTCCACGATAGGTTTGTCGACACACAACACATCCCAGCACAGATTCATCGGCGGGTTGTAAAGGTTGGGCAGCACACCTGCAGGCCACACCAGGCTCAGGGGGTGGTCCGGCACCCTAGACATGCCCTGGGGTCAAAGCCTGCCATGCTCCACCCGGGTCAGACTACAGAATGTTCAGAGGCCCAGTGCAAAGTGCAAATGCTGAGCCCTTGGTCGTAAGTTAGTAAGAATTTCAAGATGACAGGAGAGTGTAAAACCAACCCCGGGGCCCTTCTGAGCGCGGGGCCCTGTGTGACTGCACAGGTCACGTGCTCTTGGGGCTGGCCCTGCTCCCACCCACCACCCACCCCCTTACTGGTGAAGAGGTCAGCAGCGGGGGGCTTCAGGCTGGCACTGGCTCGCCACACCTGCTCCATCCTTAGCTGCTTCTTCCGAACCCACTTATCTTGATAATCCAGGCGCCCAAAGAAGAAGCCGTCAAAGCCCATCTGGGGGTGGTGTGGAGAGGAGAGGGATCAGAGGGCAGGACGTATAAATGCCCAGTACCCTCACCATCACCTGCAAGCCCCCTCAGCGTGGGAGGGGTGGGTCAGAGAACAGACAAAAAGTAGTAAACCAAGAAGGCATGCAAAGCATTTGGAAGATCGGGGAAGGGTCACAATGAACCACAGGAGAGCTGGGAGGGGATGGGTCCAACGCTAGAACCCACTTCCACCTTCCCCGCCTCAGAAAGGAGGCCCGACTCAAGATCTTCCCCCTTGAGCTGAGGATGGAAGGGGTCATGGCACAGGACAGGAAGCCGGTTGGAAAGCACAGCAATCCTCCACCTGCTACCCTCTTGGGGAGGAGCCAGAATCCTAGCAAACAGGGCGGGGTCAGGAGGGAGAGGAGAAGGAGCGAACTGGAGCGGGGCAGCCTTGGCTGAGGCAAAGCAGAGCCAGAGCAGAAAAGGAGTGGAATTCACAGTTCACTCCAGGGGCAGAGTCTCAAGAGGCCAGAGGGACAGGGGACCCGGCCTGGTCTGTGATCTTGCAGAGAAGGGTGGGGCTTGAGTAGCCGAGCGACGAATCAAACGAGTGAAGAGGATCTATGAGACGTCCGGTAAAGCACCTGCGCGAACAGCGAGGCCTGCTCCCGAGAATGGCCAAAGGGGTCGATGTGCCAGGCCACACGGGGGCGCCCGTCGTTGCCAAACGTATCTTCCAGGAAGCGCAGTCCGAGTGTCATCTGGTCTATGATTGCTCCGTAGTGGGTGGCCGCCTCGTCGTTCATGACCCAGCCACCGTTGGCAAACTCCAGGCGCCCTGTGCCAGGTGGGGCAAAGTCGGGGTAGATTGTCAGGGCCAGGAGTGGAGCCGGGATTGGCAATGTAGGGGATAAGGCCTGCCTGCATGCCCAGGCCTGGAAAGAGAAAAGAGGTCTCTCCCAAGCCAATATAGCCAGATATGGGACACAGGGCCCCTGTATGGCAGGCTTCCTAGAGGATCCACTGAAGGTGGGGCCTTGCAGGATGCATAGGAGTTCTCCAAATAAAGGGAAATTCCAGGCAGGTAGAGTCACATGCATGTACACGCTACACATAGCATGATAAAATCTCAGAAACCAGGATGGCAGAAACAGAAGCTAGGCTGGGCTTCCTCCTTTCACTTCCTCTAGGCAGCTCACCCTGGCGCACCAGGTTCCGCACAACTTCCTGTGTTGCATTGGTCTGTTGGTGCCACCAACGAGAGAAGAAGGCCATCTCTACATAGACGAAGCGGCGAGTGGGCTCTGCCAGCAGGGAAGAGATGACGGAATCTAGGATGTACTGCACACCCGCATGCTGGACATCATTGTCGACTGTGGGCACAGGAGTCAGGCAGTCAGGGACCAGCTAGCCAAGGAGGACATTCCTAGACACAGGAGCCCAGGCTGGGTATTGCCCCCACCTTAATATCCAGGACGCAGAAAGGATCTGAAGGGCTCAGAGGCATCATAGGAGTGTCCCAGGGGTCAGTCCCCACCCTCTACTCACTGCCATAAAAGTACTGGTCCACCGTCTTGAGCCAGCCCACGTCGTCATGTGTGTGTGCCACCAGATGCACGTTGAGCATGTCCGGCTTCACCGTGGGGCATGACTGCAAAGGACCCCAAATGCACACTCACACACCCTCTCACCCTAAGGTTAAGAGGCAGGCTGGGGTGGGATGTGGTGGGGCGGGGGAGCCCACGATAAGTCTTGATCTAGAGGTGAGTGACTCAGAGAGATGGGGCCAGGCCCTCCCAGGGAAGATACACATAGTTGTGCTCACAGATACAACTCCCTAGTGGCACAACTCCCCAGGGCAGCTCTCATTCACACGCTGGGAAAATGATAATAGTAGTAGCTAATGTTTACTAAGCATTTGTAAAGAGCAAGCAGCCAGCCACTTTGTGGGGTAGAAACAATATTATCGCCAGTTTTCTGATGAGAGCCCTGAGATCAGAGGGATGTAGTGACTGGCCAAAGTTCACATAGTTAAGACGTGGAGGAGCCAGGCTGGACCTCCAAGCAAGCTGACTCCAGAGTCCCAGCTTTCAACCAGCGCTCCCCCGCCTCCTCCACACACACACACGCCCAATCACACAGTTAAGTGCATGCAAAGTCCAGGCAAGCCAACCCACAGAAGCAGGGAGGCAGGTACAGGCAGCCTGGTTTTCAGACGCGCGCAGCCAGACCTTTCGCTGACACAAAACACGCATTCAGACCACGCTGTCATATTAGCAACCATTAACTAGGCACTCACAGAACAGACCTACGTCTCTGGACCCTACTCGGGGCTTCCCTTCAGCTCGTGGACGTTTCCGCTCGCGGGCCCCGCTCACCTCGTAACCCGCGGCCTGAGCGCCGGGCGCCGCCAGCAGCAAGAAAAGGAAGAAGAGAGGCGGGAGCGATGGCCGCAGTGCGCCGGAGCTTGTCCAGGGCCCCGCCGCGCCCTGGCCGCGGCCAGCGCGGACCCCCGAAGGCGGCGCGTCGGCATCCATGGCTCCGCCGCCGCCACCGCTGCCGCCACCACCGCCTCCAGCGGATTCCGGGCCCGGCTAAGGCGGGGCAAACGCCCCGCCCCTAGAACTAGGTCTGGCCAATGGGTGCTGGTGGGGGCGGGGCTAGGACGCAGCTTGGCGTGTCCAGGGCCTGAGGCCATAGCTCTGACTACCCCTGAGGGCACTGGCTGTGTTTCACCCTGGGGTGCTGGCTGGGCCAGAGGAGCTTTTAGCGTCTCGTTCCTACATATAGACTTAGAGTGCCTCTTTGTCCCTGTGGGTGCAGAGGCCTCAGTCGTCCCTACTGGTGCCTGGTTTGCCTAGAAGGTGGAATGTGAGCATGGGATCCTAGGGTGTCCCATTAATTTTCAGGACTAGGATCCTGGAAATTACCTTGTATCTAGCTTGGCTAGGAGCAGGGCCGATGGGGGGCCTGTTCTATCCAATGGGGATTGAAATGTTGGGTAAAGGAACTGCCCTTGGAGTACCGGGGATGGGAGCGTCCAGCCCAGTTAGGAGGGTTACTAGTGTTTGTACATGCAGACCTAGGGAAAAGCGGTGAGACTGAAAATCTACCTCCATAAGCAGAGGGCAGGGAATGACCTAAGAAAAAGGCTAGCCACTCTTGTCTGATAATTTATGGAACTTACACACAAGGTATGTCTTAAGTGGCCATAAGATGAAATGGATCCCTGCCCCCCTTGGCAGGTACCAAAGAATTATACAGGGTATAAAGTAGAGAAGACAGTCAGAGTTACTAGTACATGAATGCTACCAAGTATGGAAATTACTTCACACGCTTGGCCAGGTCAGGACAACAACCTGTTCCAAGAACCAGCCTGTAGTAGAAGGCAGGGGAAGGGTGCTGATTTATGTCAGAATGAACATCAAGTATGAACAGACAGTCTCTAAGGGGGTTTGCAGTCAGCAATCTTCCCTCTCTAGTCTGGGTCCAGCTCTCTGGTCCAGCAGCAGTTACATCAGGGAACAGTCTCTCCTCCACACCCTACACCTCATGACCAGCTCTTACAATCTCACATGCCCCACTCTTCCCTGAGGTGCCCTGAGTGGTGAGTGAAGGGCTTCAGTAGCAGGGAGGTAGCTCGCTTAGTTGTAAGTTAACCTCACTGGAGACACACTCCGCAGCAACAGTGCAGACACATGCAAGAAAAGAGTCAAAAGAAGCAGTCCAAGTATTAGTAACAACTTTTCCCACCATGCTTCCCCCCAGGACCTAGGTTAGTAGGTCACCTAGGCTTGGAGCCAGATTATTTAAGGCATTTACTTGAGTTTTCATATGTGTTAACAAAGAAGAAACATTAGTAGATTCATCCAGTATAAGAACACAACTTTCTGTGTGGATAGTGGCACAGGTTCCCCACCCACCACCATCCCTGTAACTGGATGCCGCAGGAACAGCAGAAGCCTAAGGTCAGAAAGACAAATATTTAGTAGAGACTTGAACTGGGAGATCTTCTTCTACAAGAATTACACCTGTCTGATCTTTAGCGGTTAATGTGGCCACAGTGTTTGGAACCTAGCCAGGCTGTGTAAACCATATATGTTGGCTGGGGGGAAGTGGTGTTCTCTGGCATAAGGAGGTGAATAAGGGGAGGATTATGCCAGACCAGGACCCCTACCTTCTCCCCTCTTTCAATGGTGCTTGTACCAGTCCACATATACCATGTCTCCATGGGGCCTGTGTTAGGATGACAGAGTTCTACCTGAAATCGGGCTCTTCCTCCTCACCCAGGGGCATGAAGTAACTAACATGAAAAACATTCCACTGCAGATTCCAGTAAATAGTTCTTGCTCCAGGGACAATACGGCCTAGTGCCCTCAGTCTCTTGGCCTGTTGGTCCATGGCAAGCATCAGGATTATTGCTGTGTCCTTTTGTTTCCCACACCTTTACCATACTGGGTGCCTCCGTATGAGTTCCCAGCCCGGTGTATAGAGCAATAGGCCCCACAAGTTGGTCATTTAAATGTACTAACAGTTGAAAAAGCACTTTTGTCCACCTGGCCAAAGTAGGTTTTCCAGTTAATAATTTTATCTGTTGTTTTAGGACATCATTTTTCCATCTTTGCAGGTTGCTGGGACTAATGCAGGGTTGGAAACAGGAGTATTTGGAGGGTCATTCAACAGGGCCTAATAGTTGCTGCATTTCTAGAGACAGAGGGCTATGTGACAGAGCACTCCTCTACTGTAGGTGGACATGCCATTTAGTCAGTGTAGGAGTCCAAGACTTTGCAGAGGCAGGTCGGTGGAATACGCCTATTCACCCCTTGATGGGAAGCGAATCTTTTTTAAGAGGCTCCACCTGCAGGAATATTGCATAAACTGCCAATCACTGCTGTTCTATCAGGGTATATCTGATTTCTGCATCCCCTGCTTCCCCACCTCCCCAACCCACCGTCCACAATTACGACCCAAATACAAGGGGCACTCTATCCGTTCGCTGTTTTTGCCATAGTGCTCAGCTCATACCGTCCAGGGTTACTGAAACATCTGATTCAAATGGCAACCCCACCTGGAAAATTCCAAGAGCTTTAATCTGTTTGACCAGGATTTTTGCTTTCTCAAAGGCAGTTTGTTGTTTGGCTCCTCAGTCCCATATATGTCGCTTCTTAACTAGATGATATAATGCGTGAAGGCATTATGCTAAATGGAATATAAATGTTTGCCAGTACCCCAAAATTCACATTTTAAAAGGCTATACTTCTTTCACATTTTTTGGTATGGGGTAGGTTTATACCTTGTCTATGACAGCCTCAGGGACAACGTGGGTCTTACATGACCATACAACTCCCAAGAACTTTACCACAGTGCCCAGACCCTGAATTTTCTGCAGATTCATTGCCCATCCTCTCTGTTGCAGGTGGTCCAGTGAAGCCTGCAAGGTTTTCTGCTGCAGAGGCAAATCTTCACAGGTTAACATTATGTTGTCCATAGAATGAGCCCATTTCACAGAGGTTAGGCAGGAAAACAGTGACAGGTCCCAACCCATCATCCCAAGTTACATGGTTGGGCCAGGTAAATAGCCTTGAGGGGGCACTTGAAAAGTATATATATATCTCAAGTGGGAAACACATTTTCTAACTGTTTCTTTGCCTTTGTAAGGGCATCAGCCTTGTGCAAAGGGAAAGCTTCAACTTTTCCAGAAAACACAGACACAAAAACAGGAACATATTGATAACTCAAACTAAGTGGCAGTTGAATGAAATCCAGCTTAAAAGCATTATGGTGCACAAAGGAATGCAAAAACCAAAAAATGAGACTTGCAAGGGAGCCTGGGACAGCCAAGCAGCCGTCTTGGCTTTCCCATAATCCTGACTGTTTATTTAATTTACAACCAATGTTTGCTCATCTTAATTTCCCTGATTGAGGAGCAGACCATTGCTTTGTGACAAGGACAACAGGATGGCAAAAGTGTGGCACTGAAGGGTCATTTTTGCAGAAGAAGAATAAACTTCATCCACATGTGCCACAATCTTTATTGTTTGCTTTGTTTTGTTTTGCTGCTGCCTTTTCATGAAAGTCAGCTAGGGCGTTTCAGATGTAGAATGCTTTTACATTTGAGAAGAGGCCATTTTCTTAAGTAATCAAAGACCTGATTAACACAACATAAAACACAGAAAATTATTTTGATAAAACATAAAATCTTTGCTTTCTAGGCAGAAAACGTTACAATATCTTATCAGAAGCAGACCCACAATTCAAGAAAAGTTTGCCCATTTAACAGGGAGAAAGAACTAATCTCTAATTTTGCATTGGCTTACTTTTGATATTTAAATTCACTTAATTAAAGCTCCACTAATCTTAGTCAGCTTGACTACACTTTAAAAACTTTTTTCCAAAGATTTTTGCAAACCGTCTACAGTTTTTGTTAGTTTCAACTAAAACCTTTTATTCTACTTAAATCTGTTAGTTCTTAACAATAATGTTTAAGTTACCCGCAAAAACTTTGAGACTTTAGACAAAATCAGCTAATATTATTTTTGCTGATAAATTTTTAAGCCTGGGTAAAATAAAGGTATCATATTTAATTCTGATAACTCTAAAAACATGTTTTAATTAAACCAACAAACTTAAACTAATTTTAATGTCAAATATTTTCCCAGATCATGTGATCTTGAAAAGCATTTGAGTTAGTTTCTGTATTTCCAAGAATTTTAGAGTACCCAATCCTTAATTTATAAAGCCCTTAATTCTTTCAAGCCAATTAAACATAGCTCTTTTACAAGTTAGCAATACCATCTGCAGGTAGAAAATACCACACCAATATAACACATACATAGATACACGTGAGCATGCAGATGCAAACAGAGACCTCGTGGCTTCCAAAAAACAGGTGGGATCTGTTCAAAGGACCTTTCCTTCCCCCTACCTTTATTAGCCAGTTTAAGGAACAAATGCTAAGAGAGTTATAGACATTCTAATACCTTTTTCTAGTTTTGTTTCTTCCTCTAATTTTCTAACCCTAGCTTCTGCTTCTAGCTGGGCATTTGTGGCCAGCCATACCACCCAAAGGGGTACCAGCCTGCAGATGTGGCCATAAATTTTCCTGCCTTGCTGCAGTGTTGTTCCTTAAACAAATGCATGACATCAGCCAGGGTTTTCCAGGCATCCCTTTACTCATGCAATAATCCGCATGAATCTAACATACAGGCCACCACTTCCCACATAGAGGTTGATGGCCAGCCCAGGATTTCCCCTTTCCCAAAGCCCATTTCTTCAGTCTCCTGGCTGGCTTGCCAATTGTTAGTACATGCAGACTCAGGGGAAAAACCCCAAGACTCAAATAAATCGACCTCCAGAAGAGTGGGGCAGGCAAAGACCTAAGAAAAAGGCTGGCCACTCTTGCTTGATAATTAATGGAGCTTGTATACAAGGTGTGTCTCAGGTGGCCACAAGATGAAATGCATCCCTGGCCCCCTTGGCTGGTACCAAAGAATTACACAGGGTAAAGCAGGGGGTACAGTCACGGTTACTAGCACACGAATGCTACCAAGTATGGAAATTACATGCTTGGCCAGGTCAGGACAACCTGTTCCAGGAACCAGCCTGTAGCAGGAGGCAGGGGAGGGGTGCTGATTTATGTCGAGTATGATCGGACAGTCTCTGAGAGGGTTTGCAATAAGCAACCTCTCCCTTCTAGCCTGGGTCCAGCTCTCAGGCCCTGCAGCAGTTACGTCATGAAACAGTCTCTCCTCCATAGTGGGGAGGGCTAAGTTTTTCATACCTTTCTCAGTCCTTGTCAGTCCATCTAGTTCACTAACTATCCCATTTCTTTGAAAAGAAAATCAAAGCCCAGATTCATCAGGTCAGCAGGGCCGTCTGCTGAGTTGCCAGAAAATGGGGTCACTGTCCTGTCTCCAGCAGCTGACTTAAAGCACAAGGCTTGTGAATAAGCAAGTGAACCACCAGAAGGCTCCAAACTGGGGCCCCACCCCAGGCCTGAGTAAGTGGAGGAACTGGAGCCATTCCCCCACTGGGAAAGCACCCACAATGTAAAGAAAGAGAAGTCTCAGAGAACAGCCAGAATGCAAAACTTTATTATTAACTGGTTTCAACAGGAAAATGAGTGGATACACCTAGAAACGTGGACAGCATCTCCCCCAGCAACAAGGAGGGTGGAGAAGGCAGGCAGGAGGGGTAGGCCTAGGTTACTCTCCTAGCTGCCCCAGAAGTGGGATCGCAGGGAAAGGGCCAGGTTCCTTCCACCGAGCTGTGAACCCTGTGACTACCTCACTCAGGGAAGCCCAGGACAGCAGCTGAGGGCAGAAGGCTGAGCAGCCAAAGACCAGGCCTGAGGGGAGGTGAATAGAGGGGTCCAGGATGTGACCCCTTTATGCTGACATCACCAGGGGGGAGTCATGGGCTGAGGGTTCTGCAGATACGACATCACCACAGCAGAGATGGACAGCCTGAGACAGGAGAGAGATGTCAGTCAGGATGAGTAGGCTTGGGTCCCCCCTCCCCTTACTCAAGAGTCCCTCCTTCTCTAGGCTCAGCCTCACATGAAGCTACTCATCATTTGCTTAGTGTCCTCAGAGCTCCGGGAGTTGGCAAAGCTGATGAAGGAGCAGTAGACAGCAACCCAAGCGCACCACTTCAGCTGGGGAAAGGTAGGTGGATGGGTGGGTTAGGTCACTGAAAGACAGGAGGCCTTCCCTGGCACCCAACCCACTGGTTTCAACGGGTGCATCTTGGATCTTGCCTCCCCCGCCCAGGAGTCCCTCAGTCCCATTCCCCCATAGCCTACTCCAGGTACAGAGTTTCCAGTCCTACTCCCAAGCCTATGCCTTTAACCCCACCAAGTCCCCTCAGGCCTAAAAAGACTAGTCTTTGACATATCACGCTAAGAACCCCACCCTTTCTCCACCAGTCCCCTCCAAATTGTTTTAGAGTCTGGCCCCACCCTCAGACCGACCTCCCACGTACCGAACTGACCCGAATCCCCAGCTTTACCCACGGTTCTGGTTTTCACTGTCCAGCGTCACATTAGCCCCGCCCAGCATTACATTAGCCCCGCCCCCTCATCCCCGCCCCGCTCCGTTCCCAATCCGCCCCCGGCCTCGCAGTCGGGCGGAGCCACGCAGATGGCAACTCAGCCCAGCCTACCTTGAGCATCAGGCCGCACATGCTGAAGATCATGCCGAGCAGATTCATGTAGTCTGGTGTCGGGTCGTCCAAGGCCGGATTACACTCGCTCGGCGGAGGCTTGTACCTGCGGGTGGCTCGAGGGTCAGGATAAGTGACGTCCCGCCTCCGGGATGAACAAGAGCTTCACTGAGCCCCGACCCACAACCCGAGCCCCGTTCCCATGACGCTAGGGTCCTCACCTCAGTACTTTGTTCGGCCTCCGTGGGTCCGACATACTGTTGGTGGACATAGCGACTCGGAGGTCGGGCCTCTTCCGCTGCTGGAGTGGCAGCTTCCGGCGTGGAAATGGAGGATGGTTTTTACAGTAACACCCGCAGCCCTCGCGCTTGTGTTCCTAGCGGCGGAGGCCAGGATTCCCCCAGATAGGGTACAGAGAATTAGAAGAAGCCAAAAATACTTCTTGGAAGCAGGGAATGGGGTAAGAAACCTGGAAGCTGAAAGAGGCAGCCTTCGGTATTCCCAATGTTATCTCCATAAGGCCGAAATTTCGAGCCTGAAAGTGGGAAACAGGAAGTAGACCACGGAGGGTAATAACAAGGTTACACCCAATCGTGTCAGGCGCGGAAATCTCGGTACAGACCCATATTATAAGGCAGCGAGGAAGGGATCCCAGAGCAATGGCTTTTCCTGAGCCAAAGCCGCGGGGCCCGGAGCTGCCGCAGAAACGGTTGAAGACGCTGGACTGTGGGCAGGGAGCTGTGCGAGCCGTGCGGTTTAATGGTGAGGGCCCTGATCTTCATATATGATCTTCCCGCCTCCTGAGGTGAGCAGCCCTGTAACCCCCGCCTGGTTTTCTCCAGTGGATGGCAATTACTGTCTGACTTGCGGCAGCGACAAGACCCTGAAGCTCTGGAACCCGCTGCGAGGGACGCTGCTGCGTACGTACAGCGGCCACGGCTACGAAGTGCTGGACGCGGCCGGGTGAGCTGGGGGCCCTGCCGGGATCGGGACATTGAGGCATCGGAGACCGACGTTGACCTTCCCTCCTCTGCCCTCTAGCTCCTTTGACAACAGCAGTCTCTGTTCCGGCGGCGGGGACAAGGCGGTGGTGCTGTGGGATGTGGCATCGGGGCAGGTCGTGCGTAAATTCCGGGGCCACGCAGGGGTGAGTACAAGCAAGAAGAGGCCTCATTAGAGCGTGGATGGCGGAGGGGACTCGCATTAGCGCGTAGGTGGTGACAAGGACTACACACCACCATTATAGCGCATGGCCTGGCATTCGCCAAGCCCCGTCCTTGCAGTTTCCCCAAAACCTTTCACCTCCCCTACCCCTAGCCTTAGTCCTCACTTTAACCTGCACTGGGAACCCTGCCTTTATCTCAGTCCTCCAAAGTCCAGCCTCCTCTGAGTGGCAGTTCCTGTTTCTCAGAAGGTGAACACGGTGCAGTTTAATGAAGAGGCCACAGTCATCCTGTCCGGTGAGTCTCAGGCTTAGGTAAGGGGGCTCAGGGTGCTGCTGCTACCCCCCAAACCTGACCTCACCTTCATGCTGGCCTCACAGGCTCTATCGATTCCAGTATCCGCTGCTGGGACTGCCGCTCTCGGAGGTCTGAGCCAGTGCAGAAGCTGGATGAAGCCAAGGATGGTGTTTCCAGTGTGAAGGTGTCAGACCATGAGGTCCTGGCAGGGTGAGTGAAGCCACAACCTGGCTCCTCCCCAGGTGACACTGGGGATCATAGTAGCTGCCTCTGTGCTTGAAGTCTACTCTTTGCACCATGGCTCCCAAGGCCCTGCACAGTCTGGTCCCTACAGTCTGGTCCCTGCTGACCTCTCAGCTTTTATTCATTCTCAGCCTCATTTCAGGTCAATATGCCAAGCGTGCTTCCACCCCAGGATCTTTGCAATTGCTCTTCCTCCATCTGGACTTCTATTACTTATTCCAAGTGTATTTGAGCACCCCCTGCAGGCCTCTTTTTTATCAAGGAACATACAGCAGTGAATAAGACAAGGAAATAAGGACAAATCCCTGCCCACGTAGGGCTGATGTTCTAGCTGCAATAGACAATTTTTAAAATTTCACGAGCAGGGCTGCCTGTGTTGCCACAACCCAAGGAAGTGCCATTCCCACTGTGGAGGCAGTTTGGGCTGCCCAGCCTATTGATTGGCCGTTCCCACACATCCCCCTTTGGACTCCACAAGGTCGGCTCTTTCTCATCCTTCAAGTCCTAGTTCAGATGTCACCTCCTCAAGGAGGCCTTCCTAGATTACACTCAATCAAAAAGGTTTCACGGTGGCAGGAATTTCTCCTGGCTTGGTCACAGTTATGTCTCAAGCCCTCCTCCCCCACTACAGCGGTCTGGCTCAGAGAGGATGTTCAGTACATACCAGAAACAGATGGAGTGGGTCCTGATAGGCCCTGGGGTCTGAGTCTCAAAGCCAGCACCTCAGAATTCCACTCATGACTTCATTTCAATGTATGTTTTCCATAAGTGGTCCTGAGAGAGATTATGACAGGGATACATAAGAAGGGCAGGCCTAGCCTTTGCCCTCAGGGCTCTGGCCAGGTGGGAGGACACAGGGACATCAGGATTACATGGGCCATGGACCTGCTAGCCCCAGTTGAAGCTTCAGCTGAATCCACCCTCTCTTGCAGCTCTGTGGACGGCCGGGTTAGGCGCTATGACCTGAGGATGGGGCAGCTGTTCTCAGACTACGTGGGCAGTGAGTGTGGCCGGGGTGTGTGACATGCCACAGAGGTGGGGACAGCACAGGGGGCCCCAGCCTCACTGGCCTGCCCACCCTGTCCATTCCCCTAGGCCCCATCACCTGCACCTGCTTCAGCCGGGATGGGCAGTGCACCCTGGTATCCAGCCTGGACTCCACATTGCGGCTTCTAGACAAGGACACGGGGGAGCTGCTGGGAGAGTGAGTCCTCAGGGTCATGGGGCCCATCCCACCTCTGCCCCTCATAAGGCCCAAGCCCCACTGATCCCAACCCCCCACCCCCAGGTATACAGGCCATAAGAACCAGGAGTACAAGCTGGACTGCTGCCTGAGCGAGCGTGACACACACGTGGTCAGCTGCTCCGAAGATGGGAAGGTGTTCTTCTGGGACCTGGTAGAGGTGAGTCTCCCTACCCCCATGCCATACCAGGGCACCTGTCCTGTCCCCACTTTGTCTTTACCACAGTCATTCTCAGACCTGAAAAAAGGAGTGCTATTAGAACCGGGGGCTGGAAGGAGGAGTAAAAGGACAGGAAGGGCATTCCTAGTAAAGGGAACAGTATGTGCTAAGGCTTGGAGGTGTGGCACACATTGGTTAGAAAATAGAATTTTGGGATGGCAGTGGCAGCAGCAGGATCCAGGTCAGGCAGGGCCACCAACGCCAGGCTGAGCCACTGGGACTGACCCTGGGAGAGGGGAGAACAGATGGCAACATATGACCCCAGGGGAGATGAAGCTGTAGTTGTTCAGAAAACCTGATCTACCTGCAAGCATCCCTGTGGTTTCCAGCCCCAAGCCCTGTAAGCCCCATCCTGACGTGTCCCAGCCTGGTGGGAGCACTGGGCAGGGAACAGACTGGCTGGGCTTAGTGCGGTCAGGGCTGGGGAGCCTTAGGGAAGGAGACATAGGCGCTAAGGTGTGGCTAGAGGAAATAAGCCTCCTAAGAGGATGGAGGGAACTGAGGGACTCTGGGGACTTGAGGGCCTAGTTCTCACTAGAACTAAGAAAGCACCAATGTTCTACCTACTTCTTGAGGGTCTGGTAGATGAGAAGTCACACCCTGCAGAGGAGGGCACATGAGGGACATTTCGAGGTGGAAAGAGGAACCGTGGCTTGCTTGAGCAACTGTGTATGTGGAGCTGTGTCTGCGGGGTAATGAAGAAAGTGCAAGTTTTAACAATGAGGCTGCCAGATGCGGAAAACCAGATATAATGGGCTTAGAGCAGGGTGGTGGCCATGAAGGTGGATAGAATGGGTGGGCTCTAGACATGGTCTAAAAGCATAGCCAAGAGGATTTACTACTAAAGGGATGTGAGATGTGAAAGACTCCCAACGGTTTGGCCTGAGCACCTGGAATGATGGAGCCACTGAGAGGCTCAGTTTTAGGCAGACTAGGTTTGCAGTGTCTGGAAAGCCATTAGAGGCAGGTGGCTGAAGGTCAGGGGAAGAAGGCTCACTGATAACTGCTCCCCACCCCCTTGCTCCACAGGGTGCCCTGGCACTGGCCCTGCCTGTGGGGTCCAGTGTGGTGCAGTCACTGGCCTACCACCCTACGGAGCCCTGCCTGCTGACTGCCATGGGGGGCAGCATCCAGTGCTGGCGGGAAGAGGCCTATGAGGCTGAGGGTGGCACAGGCTGAAGCCAGGGGACCCACCACCACCAAGGACACAGATGCAGACTCAAGACAGCTGAGACCATTTATTATAGACATGCTGCTGACGGAGAAGTAGGGGAGGGGCTGGGTCTGCAAACTAATAAATAGAGGAACCTCCTTGGGTCCATAGTCATTCAGTCCTCATTCTTCTCAGGCGTGAAGGCATCTACCTTCTGGGCAAAGGTTTCAGCCACAAGGAGGGGGAAGACCAGGGAGGCATCAGCATAGACCTGTGGATGGGACCCTGGTGACCATTGGACCCATGGCTGCAGCCTGGGAGACCCTGTGCCCAAGCCAGCTGGCCAACTCTCACCTTGACAGGCTGTGCATCCACCCGGATCTTTCCCCAAGAGACAGCTTCGTCTGGCCGAGCACCAGAGTCTGAGCCATCAAACTCTTGGGCTGTGTTGATGTAGACAGCATAGTCAGCCCCATTTCGCTGTGGGGAGGGGCAGGGCAGGCGGTCAGCCAATCACAGGAGACAGAAACACACAAAGAGGTAGGGCACTGCAGCCAAAGAGGCTGAGCCATGTGTCTTGGATGAAGGAAGGGCCCCAAGTCAATGCCTAGGCACAGTGAGAGGTTATAGGGTTGCCAGGCAGACTACGGGCAGTACTGCCCAAGACCCACCTCCTAGGAAACAACAACCCTCTCACATCTGCTCAGCAGAAGCTGCCCCCAACTCTATCTTCAGAAGATCTCTGAACCCAACCACCTCTCCCCTGCCTTGGTCTCCACCCTGGTCCTAGCCCCATTTGTTTCCCCGACAATAGCCAGAGGGCGCTGGTGAGCACCTGAGTCCCAAGACTTCAAGGCTCTGCAAGTCCTGCCTGTCATCTCACTGCCTCACCTTTTCACATGCTTCCTAAGCTGATCCTTGACTTATTTCAGACATCACAAAGCCTTTGCCCTGGTTGCTCCCTTTGCTGGGAACTCTTTTCTGAGGCAACCACATGGCTCATGGGAGGCACCTACCAAAAACCTGCTCACAGGTCACACTTCCCAGAAAGACTTCTTTTTTGAACAGTGCCCCTTTTTCTTGCCATCCTATCACCCCTCATTTTTCTCCATGGCAGTGATCTTGATGTCTGTCTCTCCTACCAAAACATCAGGTGCAGGAAGGCAGGGATCCTGGGCTGTGTCCCAGTATATGGCATAGGCCTAGCACACAGATATCTCTACATAGCAGGCCCAAGTGTCACCTTCACACCAAGGACTAGGTGCTCCATCCCCACTCACCATGAGGTTGGCATTGGCGATGTGGTGCTTGACCACGCCCCCGCCCAGGATGATCATTCCAGAGTGCTTGGCGAAGATGGCCTGGGTATTGATGAGCCTCAGGTCTGGAGAAGAGCGCTGTGGTCAGGCCCTGGACCCAGCCAGCTCTCCGACCCCACTCCTCTGTGGCCCCAGTGCCTCACCCTCCACGATGTCCAGCACCAGGCCTGGGTTCTTGTAGGAATGGAAGAAGATCATGTCGCCCAGTGAGCCATCTGTGAGTGCTGGGCTCAACACGGGTATGTGGTTCTGGGGGAGGGCAGGATAGAACAGCAGTGGGAGTCAGAGCCCAGTGGGGTCAGCCTGGTCCCCATTCCGGTGGCATTCCCTCTTTGCCTGATTCTGGACAGGGTGCTTAACTTTTCTAGGCCTCAGCTTCCTCAATGGTAAAATGATGGTAACAATAGTACCTCCCCCACAGAGGAGGTGTGTGTGAGAAACCTCACACAAAATGTACCGTGCTTGGCACATAATGGTAGCTCTTGTTATTTTTCCAATGCTGGACCTCATAGGCTCTGAGGAGCAGGGGACCTTACCCCAGGCCCCAGGGAGTTACTAAGCATTTCCCCATCTGCTCCCAGGTGGTCTAGGAATAGAGCCAGGATATCAAGACCACACTCAATAGCTGTGTGAGCTCAAAGTGCCTAACTTCTCTGTGTCTGAACTTCCTCATTTAAGACTGCAGATGATGAGAACAGCACCAAGTTAACACAGGCCAAGGCCTGGCATCTTTGCCCCCACCCAGCCCCTCACCTTCTGGGCCCAGTAATACACTGACTCTGGGTTGTTGATCTCCTTGCCAAGCCGGGCGATCATCTTGGAAGGTGTCCACTTCATGCCCTAGGAGGGGACATGAGCTTCAGCCAGCAGTGCTTCCCCTGATTCCCACCACGCTGGCCCCCCAGATTATTCTAGCCCCACCTCTGAGTTCTGCTCCAGCACCATCTGGTCCAGGATGGGCATCAGCCAGTCCTCAAACTTGCAGTAATTGTCATTGGGCACCAGCAAGTTCCCAATTCTGGGGACGGGAGGCAGGTGGGCATCAGGCCCCAGAACCCTCAGCCCAGCTCCCCTGCCCAGCACCATTCAGGGCCCACCTGTTGATCCCGTTCTCACGTAGGTCCTTTCCCCTGAGGCTGAACTCGCCCAGGTATGTGGGCGCCAGGCACTTGATGAGATCCTCTTCCACGCCTCCAGCTGTAGTCACCAAAACATCCACCTGAAGCCACAAGGCAGTGAGGTTGGTCCAGAAAGGGAGGCCTTGCCATCATCCCAGGCAGGACTCCTAACTTCCAGACTCCATCCAGTAAGGAAGCTCTGCTGCAAAACAAAACTCGATCCTGTCCCCCTGCTTAAAATTAACTCATATCTCCCTATCTCACGAAAATGACCAATAATCTTACTGCCCATTGGGACCTAGAGAGGCCAAGGGCAGTCCCACCGGCTCCCCACCATGTTGTGCTGAACGAGGTAACGGATGGTCTCACGGATGCCTGAACTGATGAGGTTGGACGTATAGCCCAGGAAAATGGTACAGCCAGTGAGTGGGCGGCGGCTCTGGGTCAGGTCTGCGTGCTGGTCTTCATCCTGCGGCAGAGGCTCCAGCTTCTTCTCTATCTACGCATAACAGCGGGATCGAGTTAATCTCTGGACCCAAACTACAGTCTAAGGAGGAATCCACTGGTTTTCAGAATCAGACTCCGCCCCCAGGCCCTGCCCACTCTACCTAGAACCAGGGAACGGAAGCCCTTTGTGCAGCCTCCGCCCCTTTTACAGCCTGGCTCTCAGGGCCCACACGCTTTGCCCGCCTCGGGGAATCAGAGAGCATCTCCTTAGCAGAACCCAGCCCTCTTCCCCGCTGGGTAGGGGAAATCCAAGGCTCCGCTCTTACTTAGACTCCTCTTCCAATTCTGAAACGGCGCGGTCCTGCCCCAGGCCCTGCCGCTTCAAGAACACTCACTGATAGCCTATTGCCCGCCCCTTCTAGATATTAGAATACCATTGTTGGAAAGCAACGAACATCACAGAGAAACTCCCACCCCAGGTAGGTCCCGCCTCTTTCCAACTATTGGGCCGCCCTAACCAAAACCACGCCTCCTTCACAGGGAAGCCCCGCCCCTTCCAAGTACAGTGCTGCAGTGGTGCTATTATAGGCCGCGCCCCCTCAACCCAGGAAGTCCCGCCCCCGGTCTCACCATGGCGTTGACTTGCTGCACTGCGCGCCCGAAGTTGGTGGCTTGGAAACCAGTGGTGCCAAAGGCTTCCAGCAGCGCGCGGTAGTCCACGCCGCGGTTGAAGTCGTAGCCCCGAACCTGGGCGCTCTCGGACGGCAGCGCCGAGCTGTGCTTCAGCACAGCGGCCAGCGCTGCCGCGGGCGCCTCCCCCTTCGGGGGATCGTTCATGCTCCTGCGGCCGCGCTCTCAGATGAGAGCAGCCCCAGGCCAGACCTCTGATGGCCTCGAAACGCGCTAAGTCGTGACACACGCTTCCCTACGAGGGCGCAGGAAACGGCTCGGGTGAAACTGGGAAAACGCCCGGAAGTTGTTGAGTCACATGACCCTTTTCGATTCCTGTAGTCTAGGACGCGGCCTGTTCCGTAATACGGAAGCCGCATGGAGCCGTTACTCTCTGTTTCGCGTGTTCTCTGCCTACTTTTACTGCCGCCTGCTGGAGGCTCCCCGCGTTGCGGGGCATTTGTCCATTCGTTTCTTCTGTCCCTTGCGGAGAGAATGGCTTCTTAGACGTCGTCCTTGGACAGAATTCCAGTCATCAGAAACTGTCAAACAGTTTCTGCCACTGAGCATCTCTCATCAAATAGGATATTAATCCCTGTTCGTGCCTCGCAAGTCTCCAGAGCCTCCACATGCTACAAAATCCTTTGGTCCTCCCCTGGCGGCCACAACTATCACCTCTTTTGGGAAGCCTCCCCTGACCTTCCTCTTGGTAAGGGACCTCCTCTGGGAGTCAGGGCTGACATCTCTTTGCCTCCAGCAAGATTTCGAGACGCTCAAGGGTAGACACTTAGGAGGGACTCATTGGTCCTCCTAACCATGCAGAGAGTCTGGTCCTGAAGGGGACACCTTTAATCATTCACTCTACATATATGGAGTCTATACTGTACTATACGTTGGCCTCTGTGCTCGGTGCACATTCAGTGGTGAACAAGCTGCGGACCCTTCCCTCATGGAGCCCACAGTTTGGGGAGGTAGAAAGTTAACAGCACTAAGTGCTATTCGGGATTTCAACAGGATGATACAAGAGTCTTTGGTGTGGGATTGGTTGGAGGGGTTGGTGGCCTTAGTTGGAGGGACAGATGGTTGAGGACAGACACCAAGGAGGTGACATTTGAGCCAAAACTAGAAGGCCAAGAAAGGCCCCATATGTGAACTTATGGGAGAAGCCATTCCCCCACCACCCCCCATTGGGAGCAAGAACAGCCAGTGCAAAGGCCCTGAGGCTGAAAATGAGCCTCCTTAATTGGAGAAACAGAACATCCTCCATGACATTCTTGACATTCCCTGCTTGGATCTGAAACTCACCTCAGCTTTCTTTCCACCTAACCCTGATCTTGCCACAGTCTTCATATCTCAGCAAAAAAACCAGGCTCACATCTACCAGGCTCAAAACTGCGGAGTTGAGCTTAATGTCTCTTCTCTCACACTCCACATTCACCCCCCCAGCACATCAGCCAAATTCCATCTGCAAAATAGTTCCCAAATGAGTCAGTATTTGTATCTAGGTGCTTGTCGTTATCCCCATGGCCTCCACACTGCCCTCCCTCCCCACCATTCCATCTCCAAGCTGTGGCCAGAGAGCTCGTTAAACAGAAATCAGATGTATCGTTCCTCATTAAAACCTTCTAACAATGGTAGCTTTCCCTTAGGATTAGGGTCCAGGCTCTTCACAATGGCCTGCGAGGGTGCATGCTGACTTCCCTACCCTCATCTCCCACCACTTGCCCTCGCTCACTCCTCTCCAGCTATACCAATCCCTCTCGCTGTTCTAGAACTCCCTAAGCTCTTTCCTTACCGAGGGATGATGCACCTGCTGCTCTTTCTGCCTGGAACATCCCCTTTCCCAGCTCCTTCTCTTCTGACCCTCAGTTCAAGATGTTACCTCCTCCAGGAGGACTGTCCTGACCACCCACTCTTGCCCTTACCTTGCTTTTCTTGTCTTTCACAGCACTTAAGACATTTTGTTTGCCGTTCTCTGTCTCTGAACTAGAATGGCAGCTCGATGAGGATTGCAAGGACCTTGTCAGCTTACAATCCTTTATTTTTTTATTTTTTATGCCTACAGCACCTGGTCTTCCTAGGTGGTCTCCCATCCAAGTACTAACCAGGCCTGACCCTACTTAGCTTCTGAGATTGGAGGGGATCAGGCATGTTCAGGGTAGCATGGCCATAGACTCATGCTGATCCTCTTACTCTTCACAGTGCTGAACACATATTGAGATCTTTGCAAAGATGCTGAATGAATCAATGAATGAACACACATAAAGGCATCAGCATGATCCATGAGGAATGAAGGAGGGAGAGATCGAATGAATTCAGCTTGGGCAGAAGGTGCCAGACCAGGCAGAACCCTGGGCTGTGGTAAGGAGGCTGAGAAACCATTGGAGAGTTTTAGAAAGGAAGTGAGAGACTACACATAAAATTCACCATCTTAACCATTTTTAAGTACACAGTTCGGTGTCATTAAACACATTCACGTTGTTGTGCAGCCATCACCACCATCATCTGCAGAACTTGTTCATCTTCCCAGACTGAAACCCTGTCTCCATTAAACACCAACTCCCCATTCCCCTCCCCCAGCCCCTGGCACCCACCATTTACTTTCCATCTCTATGAATCTGAGTACTGTAGGGACCTCATATAAGTAGAGTCACACAATATTTGTCCTTTTGTGACTGGCTTATTTCACTCAGCATAATGTCCTCAAGTGTCATCCATGCTTTTTTTTTTAATTTATTTTTTAGCAGGTCACACTGGCTGCTTTGAGAATAGGGGCATAGGGAAGGGGGGCAGGAGAGACCAGGGTGGAGGCCACTGGACTTCTCTAAGTGAGCAAAGATGGGGGTGGGACCCATGTGGGGTGGAGAGAAGTGACCAGATTGAGAACCTAATCTGAAGGTCGATTAGCTGGCTCTTGAGAAAGGATTAAATGTGGGGATACTGGAAGAGAGGAATGAAGGAGTTTGAGATTTGGGCCAGGACAGTCGGGTGGATGGTGGTGAATGTGGGACAAAAGATCTGAGGGGAAGATGATCCAGAGTCCAGCTTTGGCCAAGTTAGGTGAGAGAAACCAGTGAGGGGGGTGAGATGGATCAAGGGGGTTGGAGGGTCCTCGGGTGGGTCTGGGGTCAGGGAAGTGGCTGGGGTGGGGCAGCGTAAGTGAGTCAACTGAGTCATCCATGGAATGGACCCCCAGGCAGTGAGTATAGGAGGAGGAGCAGGACTGCACCTGAGCTTGGGACACTTTGCACGTTGGGGTGGGCAGCAGCTGGCAATTGAGGGTGTTGGGCCAGTTAGCAGGGGATCAAGCAGGTCAGATAGAGGCCAGGGCCCCACATGTGTCCCCTGCCAAGGTGACACATGACCACGGGGCAGCTGCTGGGCCTCCTAGGGCAGGGAACCCCTTGGCTGAGGCAGCTGCTGCTGCTGTGACATTTCACTCTGTGAGTGTCCTGGCTTCAAAGTCTCTGCAGGGATGGGGGCGGGAAAGGAGAGGACTGGAGAGGCCAGGTGGGTGGGAGAGGGAGGAAGAGCAGGGCTGCAGGAGGACTGAGCAGGCAAGAGTCAGCCAGGGTCCTCCGCTGAGGTACGTGGTCCTGATGAGTGGGGAGCAGCCACTCCCATCCCATCATCTCCTGGAGGAACGTGGGAGGAGGTGCAGGGACCCTCAGAGGGCCCTAGGACTCCTGGTCTGGGGTTCAACATGCTTCTACAGCCCTGCTCACCCTCCCCTAGATGTCTGGCAAAATGGCCATTGGCAGCGACATCGGGCAGGCCCGCCGTGCTGTGGAGCAGCTGCGGATGGAGGCCGGCATTGACCGTGTGAAGGTGAGGTCAGGGTCAGGTGGGCATGTCTGGGTGAAGGGGCAGAGGGACAGCTGGGGTCTGGCTGACCCAGGTGGCTTATAGGTGTCCAAGGCGGCTGCCGACCTGCTGCAATTCTGCATGGAGCAGGCCAAGAGCGACCCCTTCCTGGTGGGCATCCCTGCTGCCACCAACCCCTTCAAGGAGAAGAAGCCTTGCACCATCCTATGACACTGAACCTGACAACCCATCAATAAACATGAAGTGAATGCTCCTCAGAGCTTGGTGGGCTGCAATGGGGGGCAAAGTGGGGCTGTGGGATGGCAGGGGCACCTGACCCAACCTTCCTCCCCCACCCACTCCAGGGTCACGGCCACAGGGACACACACACCCTGGACTCTGCATAGAAGAGCACGCACCTTTCCCACCCCTCCTTGCCCTGCACCGATGGGCCAGCCTTAGCAGATTCTCTCTTCCTCTGCATAAACACATCCAGGCAGAGTCCCTAGCTACATGCCAATTCATGTTATGCACACACTCATCACCCATGTCCACACATCACACACACACAGATGCCATCATATAGACAGGTCCCCACATCCTCCAGAAGCTCCCTTTTCCTCTCACACATGTATGCTCATAGGCACTCAGATAGGCACAGATGGGGTCTGGGATTATGGAAACAACACAAACAACCAGCCCTCCTCCCCAGGGACACACAGACACACATGATCCCAGGAATGCACTTGGGTGGACACAGGCGCACCCAGATACAGCAAAGGCTGTCACCAAGGCTTCCACACACCATCTCACAGACACAAGCACATCCCCAGCATCCCAGCCCCAAGCAGGCACCACTCCAGCCTACAGCACCAGTACATCGGGTTTATTTCCCCTTCACTCTCAAGGGAGAGCAAGGGTCCAAATCTTAATGAAAACAGGGCCCAAGGGTGGGGAGCAGCCCCCTGGGTAAGCAGGAATACCAGCCACGCCTTCCTTGGCATGGAGCCCAGCCCAGGGACCCCACCAGAACCTGGCCAGGACTTTTTGTGCCCCAGGCCTGTGGGGCAGAGCCGAGGCAGCACCAGCGATGGGGAGGGTCCCCCGAGAAGATTGAGAGGCCCAGCCTGCCGGCCAGCAGTTCCACATCCATGTCCACATCCGCCTGCTCAGGCCTGCAGCCTCCAGACTTCCAGCGACAGGCCCCCAGAGGCGGCCACTACCAGGTTGCCCTCAGCACAGATCTGGGCAGGGACATGAGAACTCAGGGGTACTCTAAGCAGCCTGTAGGGCATGTGGGACAAGGCACATAGGGCAAGGCCTTACCCCATTCAGCACGTTGTGGTGGCTTCGAGTGCAGATGGTCCTTGGTGGGTCTGTGGGCACGTGTACCTGGTGAGGGGCAACAGGTAAAGGTCAAGAGGTGTGCTCCTGGCCAGTGAGGGTAAGGTAGGGAGGCCTTTCCTGGGGCCTCACCCGAATGGTCTTATCAGTGGACGTGGTGTACAAGGCCCCCAGCGAGTGTTTGATCCCTGTGATCTGAGACGTGTGGCCCACATCAAAGGTCTGCAGGAGGGAGGGAGGGAGGATACTCAGACAAGGCTCTGCCAAGGCCAGCCGCCCACCACCACTGGGGGTCAAGGGGTAGGGAGGAGGCCCGGAGAGGGCAGGACAGGGGCAAGGGCCCTGGCAGACCCGAACAAGCTGGAAGCAGCCTTTCCGGTTGGCAAAGACGTGCAGCAGGCCCTGGTTGTCACCAGCCCAGAGCTGGGGCTCTTGGTAGGACATGCAGAGCAGGTAGGAGTCCAGCTGTGGGAGGGACAAAGGACAGAGCAGCTCGGGCTGGGCCATGCCACAGCCCTGGCCCCTTCAGCCCCTGGGGAGGGCCCACCTGCAGCCGCTGCAGTACGCTGTTGGCCCGGCGGTCGAACACTACGAGCGTATGGTCCTCACTGCCCGAGATGATATGCTGGTCATCCGCCAGCAATGCCAGCACCGCGCTTGAGTGCAGCCGCCGGCTTTTCAACAGGGCTGGGCCGACTTCATGAGTGATGGGCCAGGAAGGAGGGGGACATTAGAGGCCCCACCAGCCCACCCATAGATCCCAGGCCTCCATCCTCCATTGCAAAACCCTTGGTTGGCTTCCCTCCCCACCCCCATCCTACAGGAGACCCTGTCTCTCCTTTCCTACCCCAGCTGGATCTGGGCCTCCAAGGACCCCCAGGCCTGTGCACCCCCATCTCCTGTTTCATCTCCCTCCTCTTGTCCCATCTGCTCTCAGCAAGTATCAGCATAAAATGCCAGCCAATGCCAGCAGACATGCTTCCATCCCTACCCCCACTCAGCTCTGCCTGGATAAGGCATGTTGGCCCTTCATTTAAACAAAATAAGAGTGAATAAACAGAAAAGGCTTATGTGCTGGGCAGTATTTGTTCTAGGTGTTTTATGTAAACTAATATTTAATCCACTGGTGTCCTTATCATCTCCTCCCATCAATCTTATGGGGATGAAGTTGTTGTTATCTGGATTTTACAGACGGGGAAACTGAAGTTTAAGCTTGACTGGTGTGATCTAGAGAGTGAGGGAGCCAGGATTCTCAAGGACTGTCTGCCTCCCACGAGATTCCAGCTCAGAGGGCCCTCCTCTGGGCATCCTCTGTCTCTCATTGCGCCCCAGGTGGAGGCAGGGCTTCTTCCATCCCCTTCCCCATCAAAAGTGGCTTTTGTTGCACCCAGCACAGCACAGGTCACTATGAGTGCTTAGTACTGACTATTTATGTGACTGTCTCCTCAGCCAAGCTGTGAAGTCTGAGGCCTGAGTGTCTCCTTCCCCAGCATGGCCCTGGAGCCCCCAAGCAGCCTTGCTCTCCCCAATTTGGGCCCCTGGCCCACCTCTGGGGTCGTAGACTGTCACTTTCTTGTCATAGGTGCCAGTCACCAGGATGTCAGGCCGGTAGGACAGGCACAGCACAGCTGCCTTGCTCCTGAGGACACATAGAGCATGGAGCTGAGCTGTGACCAGGTAGAGCCCTGGCTTCCCCCAATCCCCCTCCCCAGGACCCCTCACACTTTATCTCGCCAAACTGTTGCCCATCAGCTGCCATGTCCCAGAGCTTCACCGTGCTGTCCCAGGAACCAGAGCACACTCGGTGGTCCAGCGCCGCCAGGGACCACACCCAACCCTGCAGGACAAGGACCCATGTGACAGTCCCCATTTCACAGATAACAAAATCGAAGGTCAGAAGAGGGAGACAACTGACCCAAGAACCCAGAGCAAGTCAGCACCACGTAGAGATTAGAGCTTCAGTCTGTGGGTCTGACTGCAGGGCCTGGGACATGCCCATCTCTCACCCAATAATATTCCTCAATCAAGTGCTGCAGAGACTCAGCACCACTGGTGATTTGAGGCTACATGACAACATGATTAAGAATGGGACCTCCACTCCACAACCTGGGCGAATCAGGTCCCCTCCTTCTATTTCCTCATTGGGAAAATGAGCATTAAAACACAGTCCCTGTCTCAGGAGCTAATATGCACAGAATGCTGGCTGATGACTGACTTATTCCTCACCAAACCCTATAAGGAGAGTACTGTAAGGCAGGGGTCCCCAGCCCCTGGGTCACAGACCGGTACTGGTCCATGGCCTGTTAGGATCGGGCCACATAGGAGATGAGCAGTGGGTGAGCGAGCGAAGCTTCATCTGCATTTGCAGCCGCTCCCCAGCACTAGCATCACCGCTTCAGCTCCACCTCAGATCATCAGGCATTGTTCTCCTAGGAAAACCAGTCCCTGGTGCCAGAAAGGTTGGGCGTCGCTGCTATAAGGTGTCTCATTCTACAAATAAGGAAACTGAGAGCACAAAGACTCTGAATGAAGTTCTTAATGCCTGTTCATTTCATTCATCCTTATCCTAATTGACCCCTGGACAGAAGTAGAAACAGACCTAGAGAAGTCATACATCTCACCCCAAATCACACTAATAATAGCAGAGAAAAATTTCAATCTATGAAGTCCAGGGCCAAAACTCACTTCCTTAGTCATGACACCCTACCCAGGCCCCATGCCTCCCACCCCCTCACCTTGTGGGTGCTGTTCTGGGTGCCCAGCGCCTTGACCAGAACCTGGCTGGGCTCTACCCCCAGCTGCCGCAGGTCCCACAAGTTGACATTGCGATCTCGGGAGCCCGACAGACAGAGGGTCCCACCCTAGGAGGGGAGGGAGGTGATGTTTTCACGGTCACCGTGGCCCACCCCTGCCTGGCCCCAGTCCCTGAACTCCATCTCACCTGGAGCAGCAGCACTGAATCGATGGAAGCAAAGTGCCCATCAGCCAGGCAGAAGTACTCAGCCCAGCGCCCATCCTCTGCCCAGCGTGACAGATGCTGCTCCAGCTCAATGCAGGCTGCCGGCCAATCAAAGTCTTCCTCTGTGGGATACCACGAGCAGGGTCTCCGGTGGGCAGGAACTCTACTACCCACACTAAGCCCACCATTGGCTTCGAGGAAGCCCAGCCAGCACCAGACTTAGAGAGACCCCCACCTGGATCCCTCACCCCACCTCCAAGGAGGCCCAGGTTCTAGCTTTGGAACCACCAGCCCACTCACCTTTCAAGTAGGTCTAGGAGTACTCCTCACCACAGTTTCCAGAAGTTGGGAAACTAGAGCCTCAGGACCACCTTCCCAGGCCCCATCCCCCAACCCAAATCTGGGTGATAGCGGCCTCAGGACATTAAGCTCCTTCCTCACCCCTGGCTGAGGTCTGACCCCAGTCCCCCAACCCTCAGGCTGGGCCCAAGAGCGAGGACTTCCTCCCTCAGTCATCTGAACCAGACCCAGGGAAGTATTTCTCAAACCAGTATCTGTAAACCTGAGAGCCTTGTCCAGATGCAGAACCTAAGGCCTAGGTTTGCAGAGGTTCAGTGGTATGGATGGGGCCCAAGCATCTATGTTTATCAAGCTATTCAGGAGAGTCCTATCACTTTAAAGTCATCGAGCTATCTTATCCCCCAGGGACCAATGGCCTTGGGGACAGGGAGAATGATAACCAGCCCTTGCTTAAGATCCCAGGCTAGACTCTGAGCTTGAGGATCTGTGATTGCTGGTACAACCTCTAAGCTCTATGTTAGGTTCAAGGGTTGCAGGCTCTGAACCTGAGTCCCTGCTTCACCCCCACCTAGGTCAGGACTCCAGAGGTGAGGGGCTTTGGGATCACCAATTGCTGCCTCAGCATCTACACCCAGGACCTGAAGATTCTTGGGCTTACCCTGAGCCCCAAGAAGACTCCAACAGCCTGAGACCTCAACTCTCTGTGTAAACCCCCAGCCAAGGGTCAGGGCCTTGGTTCCACCAGACCCCAAGCCTGAACATCACTGGATCCTGAGCTGAGGAGCCCTCTCGGGAAGGTTTCTACAGCCTTAGGACCCTAAGTATCTCCCTCATTGTCCACTCAGAAGTCAAGGACTTTGGCACCAACAGTAACTACCTCGGGTACCTCGGCTCCCAACCGCGCCAGGAAGTCTGCTCCACGAGCTGTGCTCATAGCACCCCAGGTACCCACTCCCCGACCTTAAGCCTGACCTGGGCGGGCTACCCTGGTCCCCCAGCACGCGCACCTTCCACCACTGGATAGGGTGCGCGTACGCGACGCTGTGCGCGTAGCCTCCAGGTGACATGGTCACGCACGAGGTCGCGCAGCGCGTGGCACACGCACGGCAGGACGTGGAGCACGAAGCAGGCGTCCAGGTAGGCACAGATCTCAAGCAGTAGCTCCGGGGGAAGACTCAGCAGGCCCGGGGGCCCCATGGCCAGGCCCTTGGACGCGGCCCGCGGCTCCAGGGTTCCAGGGGATGAAGCAGGAGCGGACAGCGAAGGGGTGCGAGGGGGCGCCACCCCGAATTTCGGCGGACTGAGCACGCGAGACACATAAGCCTCGGCCTGCGCGTCGGGGTCGGGGTCCGGCTCTGGGTCGGAGTCATCGTCCCAGGCACAGGGATCGTCGCGCGGCCCTGGGGGCAGCTCCATGGCGACCGAGTGGGCGCGGCCGGCCCTGCCCTGTCAGCCGCGGGCCCCCGCGTCCTGTCTCCTAGGCAGCGCGAGGGCGCTTCCGGCGCGGCCTGATGACAGTAGGCGCCGGCCGGAAGTGAGGAAGCTGGCCGGTTACTGACAGCCGTCCTGCTCCAGTGGTCTCGTTCTGGAGCTGCATAGGCCTAGAGCTGGAAAAAGCAGATTCCTGGCTCCTGCGTTTTTAAAATAAACATCTCTGGTGGTGCCGATGCAGAAGACCAACGGACTCTGGTTTGAAAACTGCGTCCCTGTCGAAGGCACCTTTCACAGGTGACACCACCTTTCACATGTGACACCGAACTTAGAAATGCAAAGCTGCTTTTCCGAGTTCGCAGGCTGGGTCGTACTAGTGATTCGAATTGTCTCTCCTTCTAGAGCCAGAAATATGCAGTTACACTAGAGGCCTAAGTGGAACAGTTACTCTGAATTACCTTAAATTATACTGATGAAAAAGTCTCTTAACTTCCTGAAAGCCTCTTCAGCCAGGCAAGCAGCACTTGTTCCCTCTGCCTTGACCCCTTCTCATATCCACATGACTCTTTGCTCAAACATCATCTTCCCTAGTACCCTACTGTAAGACTGTAACCATCTTCCCCAATGTTCTCATTCCCCTTCTCACTGTATTTTTCTCTATGGAACATTACCACGGTTTTGCTGTTTTATCTTCTATTCCCTCACTAAAATGTACACACTTGTTGAATGAATTTTGGACGTGTCAGCATTTTTTTGTTTTCCCAGGGTGATGCAGGTGATCCTTGGGCCCTAAGCTGCCACAAGATTTTATTCTGAGACTTGTGCATCCCCAGAGCTGAGCAATTTATTTGCCTCAGTAACTGTTGCTGATATTTACGTATCTCCCACAGGCCTGAGCTGGGCTGAGCCTTCTTACAAAGTATCTAAGATACACAATGATCCAGAGTTGTGAAGTCAGCCAAAGATGAGAGTGCTGCAAGGCCTTGCCCCTCGCCACTCAGTTTAGTCTAAGGCAGATGGGGATCATGAAACGGGGCTGCAACACTAATGGCTCGCCTTCAGTGAGCTCAGGACGTTTAGTGATCTGTAATTACGTCCAAGAGAATGCATTCCATGTGTGTTATCACATTTAATCATCTTTCACATTCACCTCATTTTACAGGAAAGAAAACAGAGGCCTGGGCTCCCGAAAAATATACCCTGGTTAGAGCTAACTTCTTTCCCCACTCTCCCAATTATTTCCTGACCCGAATCCTGTGCATCCCCATTTCTAAAGCTTCCCAGGCCCCCTCGACATCTCTACTGCCAAAGCCAAAGACACAGGAGGCCAGCTGGAGACCAAGGGTTTCACAAGAAACTGATCTTTACTCAACAAAGTTCTACACAAGTGGAATCTCACGCCATTTCGGCGCCAACCCCCAGCACAGCACGGTAACAAATGGACAGACCCTAGAGCCCGCAGGAGGAAGAGGGTGAGGGGGAAGAGGACAGGAACGAACGGGACTGCGGATCAAGGCCAGTCAGGGTCCGCAGCCCTGGGCAGGGGAGAAAGTTGAGAAGCTGCAACTTCGTTGTGCAAAAATCAACCAAAAATAAATTAAAAAATTAAATAGTTTTCTTTAAAAAAAAAAAAAAAGACAACGAACCAGGCTCCCCCTTCCCTGAAGGTGGTTGGAGCCCCCAATCCTAGGTGGAGAAGGGGTTTCCAATCCCATCAGATAGCCAGTCCATCCACACACCCCAAGACCCAGCAGAGGATGCTCTAAAGAACTGAAATTACCAGAAAATTAAATGATATTTAAAAATTTTTTTTTTT